AAAAAAAAAAAAAAAAAAAAAAGAGGAAATGAAGTGATTTGGGGATTTGTAAGGGAGGAAGATGTACCTTAGTACATTAATTGTTGACATTTTATACTTTCCCATCTGAAAACCCAATGAAATTTTGGTCAATGTTTTGAAGCTGCTTTTGTAGCCCCACCAGACAGTTAATTGAGCCTTTTCTTCCATAAACGAGATACAGTATAAAATGCCAGCTTGCGTCTCACTACTAAATTTCAGGATTATTCAGTTTTTCTGTCTGGAGCCATTTTCTGTTTGCCTTGCAGTGCCAGAGGTAGAAGGGGAGGCAGAGAGCATCAGCTCCCTGTGCTCACAGATCACCAATGCCTTCAGCACACCTGAGGACCCCTTCTCATCTGCTCCGATGACCAAACCAGTGACAGTGGTGGCACCACAATCTCCTACCTTCCAAGGTTGGTGCCCTCTGACCTGCTCAGCTGTTCTCTTTACAAGCAGTACTTTTAGTACACTGCTCACTAACTGTAAGTTGGCATCCTGAGCTTCCCAATAGCTGGTCAGACCCATTAACTTCTCTATTTGATGTCTTAGATTCATTGATTTCTCTATTCGACTGTGTCTGTGCTTTGTTTCCCTTCCTGTTTTCTAAGATGTCTGTGTTTGTCATTTTGCATGTGCCCATCTTTCACCCCATTCTATAAGGAATATCTATAGTCCCAACTTACTGCTTTGCCACTTGACTGTTAAGGATCAGCATACCCAGCCAGTTGTCCAGAAGCAGTAGTCATCAGAATTGGTTCAAAGGTTATGCTTTCTTTAGTGTAGTGGTTCTCAACCAGGGGCAAAATTTGTCATTTACTGTCTGGAGACATTTTTGGGCCTTTACAAGTTGGGGGTTAGGGGAGTTGTTACTGGCATCTGGTTAGAGGCTAAGAATGCCACTAAACATCCTTCACTGTAGAGGACAGTACCCACAACAAAAGATTATCCAGCCCAAACTGTCAGGGGTGCCAAGGCTGAGAAGCCCTGGACTCACCTAGTCTCTACCCTGTCAGAAAGGCTCATAAAGAAAAAGGCTCTCCTTTGAGCTCTTTACTTCATCTTCTATAACAAATGTCTTAAAATTTACCTTTGTGGCATTGAAGAGTTACAAGTTGTTTTCAGAGATACTGACTAAATAGTGGATAATGACTCAGAGGCTAGCAAAGAATTTATGTAACTTAAATTACAGACTTCTAAAATTTGAGCTGCTATCATTGCTGTTTCTCCATTTCTTTTGAAAGAGAACTCAGAGAAAGTTTTACTCTGGAGACAGTGCCATGCTTCTACTGGAAGAACTACACGGTTTTCCTGCAAGGGACTTTTTTTTTTTTTTATATTTCTTTTGATTAAAAAAATTTATTATAAAAACACCTTTGATTTATAATAAACCTTCATAGTCATGTGCGTCAAATGGCTTTCACATCATCTAACAAACATTTATAATACCAATAATAATAGGCACAATTTATTGAGCAGTTACACATTGCTTGCCACATTGTAGTAGGGATTCATGCATTATCTCATTTAATCCCCACAACAACCCTGTGAGGTAGGTGTTACAGATGAAAAAAAAAAAAAAAAAACAACTCAGAGAGGATAAGTAAATTGCCCAAATCGTACAGCCAGGATTTACACTCAGATCTTCCTGAATATGGTGCCCCTTACATTCTGCTGATTCTGCCTGTCTATAAGGCACTAAGTGTAAAAAATTAAATAGAATATTTCAGTTTCCCTTCCCTGCCTTTTAAGAGCTCCCAGTTTCTAGGTGAAAAAAATTTTCTTTTGCCACCGAAAAAAACAAAGGCAAAAAGTCTTTTAGACAGTCCCTAGGTAAATAGTACCAACAGCATAGAAATGGCTGTCCAGTCCTGAAAAAGAAATGATTATATTGTAGGTCAGGGGAAGGTGCTTATCTACACCATACTAAATGTTATTAAGAATTGGGCAGCCGGGCGCGGTGGCTCAAGCCTGTAATCCCAGCACTTTGGGAGGCCGAGGCGGGTGGATCACGAGGTCAAGAGATCAAGACCATCCTGGTCAACATGGTGAAACCCTGTCTCTACTAA